TTCAGAAACACAGCATGAGAAGTGCTGCCACAAAAAAAAAAAAAAAAAAAAAAAACTGATAGCACATGAAAAATGCATGCCAAGCGTAAGAAAGGTGGAAGCGGACCTGCTTGTGACTGCGTCTGCGCAATCGTCGACTGAAGCTCGAGAATGTAGAGAGCTGGAGAGGTTATGATGTGATTGAATTGCAGTGACCTATCCTGTTTTCCTGAAAACGCGCACAAAAGCGCACTGAAGCATGCAAACTTTCACTGCCCAATAAGCATTTTCCATGAAAAATTTTCTAGACACACTTAACATTTTCATAGACGCAGCCTGAATTTGGATTTGCAATGTTGTTGAATTAAATTCCTGCCAGCTTAACTCAGCGACCCTAAATTAGATTTATTACACAGTTCCACTATGACAACAATAGGGCCGTTGAAATATAGGACTGGGTTTGGAACAGAGCCTCCAAAGAAAACAAGTTAATTAGTTAGCCCAAACCACGTGAACTTTTCTCACCAATGATGATGATGATAATGATGTTTTTGGATTTGATGCAAATTGGGCTGACAATATATTGTGTTTGAAACTAGTGTGAATTGGGCTGACCACCTTGTAGTGGACAATACGCCCACCTTTGCACTTTCTTAGTAATCTCTATTTGAACAAATACAAAACTTCAAAATAGGTGTTGAATAAACTAATGCTGAAAATTAGAAGAGTTGCAAAGCGGAAAAGCACAGAAGTTAAGCTGGACAATGACGCACTTTTGAAAAACAAGTACCACAGCTGACCGTCACAAGTACCACATATGCATGCATAGCATTTTGTAAATCAAGTAATTCAAAAATAATTCAGCCTCATGCCGTCTTTATTCACTGACTTCATTTGCATTAGTAAAGATTCCCAGCACCGTGTATCATGAAGTTGATGCAGTTATGCGTTTTGTTAAAAGCTCAAAGTAGCGAGAGGGAAATGCGACTTGGTTTCAATTTTTTGATCCCACACATGATCGGGGACTGTGTTCTCAGAAATTCAGCCCCGGACACTCACATAGATACAATTAGACCACAACCCGTCTTCATTTGCATAATGTAGGCATAATTAATATCTCTATCACAAATGTACTGAAGCGAAATAATTTCAGCGAAATAAAGAATTCAGAACAGAAGTGCAGCTAACTTACCAAGAATACCGATTTTTTGGCCTAGCCATCGAGCCTTCTGTACCACATCATCCTGCATCAGCTTGAAGCACATCGCGATCAGCGCCATACCAAAGAGTAAATATAACGCACAGACGATCAGCTTTTCTTGCGAGCCTTCACCCAGGCTTTGCCCAGGCACGATATCTCCAAATCCTATCGTGCTGTAATTATATACATTTATATATGTTCATAGCCTGAGCTTTCCCCCCGGCGAACTGCCCGTTTTCATCCAAATTAGATCAAACGTTTTTGATGTTTCGTGATAGAAGGAAGAAATTAATACTTTCTGAAAAGTTGAGTGCACTGATAAGATAAATATTTTGAAATATATAAATATTTGGATGAAGCTGTTAGATGTGAGTAAGCGCGGTTAGTCATCATTATCTTGCTTCACTTGCTGATAGAGTCACAAGCAAGACTACATCAGGTCCTATGGACGGAAATTTAGCCGAGTTAATTTTTCACTTTACTGTTATTGCTGCTCCGTTGGACACTACGCTATCTGATATTAGCAGGGTGGTCGGTGGTCATCATCTGCTGTAATAAAAATTTTGCCGTAACTTGCTGCAGGATTGCCCAGAAAAAAAA